CCCCAAAACCCCAAAACCCCAAAACCCCAAAACCCCAAAACCCCTAAATTTATCCCTTGTTGCACCAACCTATAATTAAAATAACTTATTTAAAGGAGATGGTTTTGGGTTCAGAGATAATAATACTAGCAGTAGTAGTAGCAGGAGCAGGAGCAAGAATAGCATTCGTAGAATGGAAAAAAAGGAAGAGCGTAGAAGGAAAGAATAGAAAGGTTAAGACGCAAAGAAGATTGAGTGATCGATTTTAGGAGATATGCTGAGAACTCAAGGCTAGAACTCCCTCCTGGCTGGGAAAATGTATGTAGTACTTATGGAGTAAAATGGGAAGACGAAGAGGAAATAAGGGAAGGAGAAGAGACTTGTGAGGATGATCTGAGCATTTATGCAAGAGGGATTAAAAATATAAAAAGAGATTGATTCGTAAATGCCTTGCTTCAATGCTTTCTTGGGATGCCTGACTTCTGTGATAAGATCAGAAAAGAGGCTGCAAATAAAGGTACATGAAGAGAAGAGGAGGAAAAATGTGATGATGTTAATGATTGAGAGAACGCCCTAGAGGATAATTCAGTGTTGAAGATCCTTTCAAAATTTATTAGTAAATATGAAGTAGATAGCCATGAAGTAGTCAATGGCAGATTTTTAAGAAGATATTTTGAAGAAGAATTTCCAAGTTACCAACAGCACGATGCAAGACAGTTTTTCATGGCTCTTTTTGAAGCTATCCAATTGGAACAAAATCCTTCGAATGAAAAATTTATTCTATTTAAAAAAGACGAATTTAGAGAAGACTCAAAAATAACCTCAGTGTGTTACCATTCAGTTATTGATGAATTCTTCATTGGGGTTTATGAAACAAAATTCTGATGCAACTCTTGAAATGCTGAGACTAAGGTTCTTGAAGAGTTCAACCATGTTCCATTATACCTAACTGTTGGCGCTCATCCACAAGAAAGTTTTATTAATTTTTTAGAAAGACCAACACAAAATAACTCTGTAAGGATGAAATGTAGTTCCTGCAAAAAAGAATCAGAATTCGGTACTACAACAAGAATAGCACGCTATCCAAAGTACCTGATCTTCGCTATTGAGAGGATAGATTCATTCCATCGCAGAAAAATCACTGACTTTTGTGATTACCCAGTAGAATTTATTCAGAAGTATCCAGATGGCTCTGAAAATATCAAATATAGGCTTCATAGTACAATTTCTCATTCAGGTAGCCTAAATTCAGGACATTACACTGCTATTTCTAAGAGAAGCGAAGGATGGATGTATTTTAATGACAGAAAGGTTAAAGATCTAACCAGAGACGAATTAAAAATTGGAGGTGAGACTGTCTTGATCTACAAAACAGACAGTAATTAATTTGGAGATTTAGTTCAAGCTGTTATGATGACTCGGGGTTTTGGGGTTTTGGGGTTTTGGGG